CTTCACGTGATAGCAAGACCGACCTGGCCCTGAGGTCACTGGCAACTCAGGCCCAGAGAGCAGCGGGGGAGGCAGGGATCAGAAGCTGCCTTGTGACACAGCCCCAGAAAAGCAGTGTGACCCCCTTTTGCTTCTGCATTTAAGGAGACTACCCGGAGACAAAGGTGTGTCCCAGAGGGGAGGATGTCTCCAGGGACTCCCCCCCTTGCTTATGTGACACACCCCCTCCCACTGGAGGTGACTTTGGGGTGAGTCATTTCCCTTTGTCTGGGAAGTTAAAAAGGACAGCAGAGGGGAACGGTGGTGAAAGTGCTTTCAGGCCCTAAAGTGGTGGGGTAGAGCTGCGGCAGGGGCCTGGGGACGGTGACAACCACTCCTGCCCCCAGTGCTCCAGGAGAGCCTGTGGAGTCCACAGAGGCCAACTCAGAGAGGGACAGAAGCCCCTCCTAACCGTCCCCTCTTCTACCAAAGATGAAAATCAGGCTTAGAAGTGACTGGCCTGGAGCTGGGGTTTTAGCTCAGTGGCACAGCACCTGCCTGGCAAGTGCAAGGTCCTGAGTTCGATTCCCGGTACCGGAAAAAAAAAACAAAAGAAGTGCCTGGCCTGAGGTGAGTTGTTCATTGCTGGTTTCGGTGCCCCACCTTGAACATCACAGAGATGATGGGGAGATGATCAAGGAACCCACTGGACTGGGCTTAGAGGTGGCCAGCATCTAGCTGACCATGGTGGTACACACCGTAATCTCAGCACCCTGAGAAGCTGAGGCAGGAGGATCGCAAGTTCAAGCCCACCCTGGGCCATTTAGTGATTTAATGAGACCCTGTTTCAAAAGAAAAAAATGAAAAAAAGGCCAGGGGTGTAGCTCCGTGCAAAGTCCCTGGGTTCAGTCGTCTATATTGCAAAATAAAAGGTCAGCCAGCATCTCCCTTCAGAGCAGCGGTAGACCCAGGGGTGAAAAACAGGTTTCCAGGCCTCAAGCAGAGGTGTCCTCTTCAAGGGCTGGAGTTGTTCAAAGAGACAGGTGCTCCCTCATGGAGCTAGGTGAGACTGACCCCCTGCCCGCCTGCCCAGTCCTCCCCGGCCCCAATGTTTTTAGGAAAGTTTCTCCCATAGGAAGCCCTCCCATCAAGGTCTAGGGCCACTCCAGGGGCAGTGGTCATGATGCAAGCCTGGGAAACGTGGTGGCCACTGAAGAGGCAGCAGAGAACATAATAGGGGTTGGACGCAGTGGCACACGCCTGTAATCCCATCACTTGGGAGGCTGAGGCAGGAGGATCACTATGATCGAGGCCACATAGCAAGACCCTGTCTCAAAAAGCAAAGAAAGAAAGGAAGGAAGGAAGGAAGGGAGGAAGGAAGACAGAGAAAGAAAAAAAGAAAGAAAGAAAGAAGAAAGAAAGAAAGAAAGAAAGAAAGAAAGAGAAAAAAAGAAAGAAAAGGAAAAGAAAAAAAAAGAAAAAAGAAAAAAAGGATTCCTTTGAACTTAGGGGTTTGAGACCAGCCTTGAGAGCATAGTGATATCCCAAGGTTGACCATCTACCCTGGCCTCCTAGCAGAAGATGGGCTGCCTGGAACAGCCTTGCTGCAGTGCAAGATGGGGCCCGCCCTGGCCCTGGGGCCCGTTGGGAAGCAACAGAGCGTGGGAGGGATCGGGAGGGGCCCGGGACAAACAAGGAAAGAGGCTTTTCAGGAAAACTTGGTTCTGCACTCAGCCTCCACCCATGCTCCCTCCTCCTGCTGGCGGGTGGAGGGAGAGCCCAGGGCCGGTGGCCCTGTCTGGTGCTGCCAGCTCTCTAGGACCTTTTGAGTGTGTCTCAGAGCCAGGACCAGGGCCGGACTCAGAATCAGGGTCCCCAGCAGGATCCCTGCTGCCCCAGCCGGGCACACACTTCCTCTCCTGGCCCTGGGTCCTCTCGGGCCGCTGCTCTGCCCTCCTTGACTGCTGCAGGCGTTTCTCCTTCCGGGGAAGAGGCTAGGGTCCAGGCTCCCCCACCCCACCTGAGCGTGAGGAGGAAGAGGGCACCGAGGCAGCCAGGGCTGAAGTACAGCGGCCTGGCTCTTGGCAAGAGGCTGGGTGTTTTACTGTCCTTGTACAGTAGAAGGTCAAGGAGGGGCTGCCTATGCCTCCACCGTGCTCTGCACCTTTTGTGCTCCTGCCTCTGTTTTCTTTCTTTCTTTCTTCTTTCCTTTTTGAAATAGGGTCTCACTATGCAGAGGAGGCTGGCCTCGAACTCACAGCAGTCCTTCTGCCTCAGCCTCCCGAGTGCTGGGATTTATAAACCTGTGCCACCAGCCCAGTTTATAAGACCTTAACCTTTTTTTTTTTTTTTTTTTTTTTAAAAAAACAGGGTCTTGCTATGTGGTTCAGGCTGGACTTGGACACAGGGCATGCTGAGCTACATCTCCAGACAACTTCTGTTTTGTGACAGAATCTTGATAAGTTGCCCAAACTGGCCTTGAACTTGTGATCCTCCTGCCTCAGCCTCCCAAGTAGCTGGGATTACAGGGATATCGCACCATGCTGGCCCCAGTTCACTTCTAACACATACACATACACACACATACACATACACTCCTCGAACAGCCAAACCTAGCCCAGGGAGGGACAGGATGCAGTAAACAGAGCTCTGCAAGGTTCAGCCCTGAACCTGCAGGGCACATACCTGCCCTTGGGTACTTCAGTCTGGGACACGGGCTGAGCGGTGTGGTGGATTTGCTGCATGGGGGACAGTGGTGGCAGCGCAAGGGCAGGATGGGAGTTGCGGTACAAGGCCGGCAGGTGGGCCTGTGATTGCGCAGCTAGCGGTGAGCGTGAGTACATGCTGGGAGGTGAGTGTGCGTGGGTGTGTGTGTCTGAGCTCAGGCTTCTTACAGCCATTTGTTCCAGGTAAGTGGGCGCCACCCTGTGCGGGCCCTGCGTGGCCTACATCCTCGGCCAACTTCCTGACCCGCTGAGGGTGGGTCCTCCCCGAAAACAGGTCAGGCCTCCGTAGGTGCCATCCCATCCCCCTCCCTTCTCACAGAGGAGCCGCTGCCTGGCCTGGAACCTGTCAGCCCAGGTGACTGACGCAAACGGGGACAGAAACCCTGCGGATGACCCCGAACCGGGGAAGCAGCCACACTGGAAGCGCTCCCTTCCCTGCCCTCCCAAATCCTCTTCCTGCTCTCCCAGGCCAGCCCGGCTCCACACCCCACCCAGAGCCTTACTGCCTAGGGAGGACGTCAAAGGATGCCAGACAAGGCCAGGTCTGTGCTGACTTGTCCTTTGGAGTGAAGGGAAAAAAAGTTGAGGTGAGGCTACATCTTGCTATGTAGCCCAGGCTGGCCTTGAACTTTCAGTGATCCTCCTGCCTCAGCCTCCCCAGTGCTGGTATTACAGGCAAGTACCATGACACTTGGCTCCATGAGTGCATTTTACCTCAGATTTTAACTTTACCTTTCTACTGTTCTTTCCAAGGAAAGGAAATAATAAATTGTCGGACACCGTGTTGTGTACTTTTTCCACATTACCTCATTTAATAATCACAACAACACTATGCTGTAAGCTGAATTCTTATTTTAGACATGGGTATGCTGAGACTTACAGGTGTTTAGTAACTTGTTCAGGAGTGCCTTAGGGACTAGGTGATTTGTCTTGAAGCTGTATTTACATAACATTTAAGACTGAGCCAGGCATGCTTGATCACACCTGTAATTCTAGCCCTCAGGAGGCTGAGACAGGAGGATCACCCAAGTTCAGGGCTTGCCTGGGTAACAGTGAGATCCTGTCTCAAGAAAAAAAAAAAAAGCCCCATCAAAGAATGATGGAGGGCTGGGGATTTTACTCAGTGGCACAGCGCCTGCCTGGCAAGCGCAAGGTTGTGAGTTCAATTCCTGGCACTGGAAAAACACCAAAAGATAAAAAATAAAAATAAAAGAAAGGAGAAGATGGAGCCGGCACAGAAGCTCCCTTGTTAGAAGGGGTGAGGCTCCAGTTCCTTTTGGAATGGCCAGGGCTAGTGTCATCAGGAACTTGGCCGTGTGAAGATGAAACTCCACCAGCAAGCCTGCCCTGCCCAGAAAGAATGGTTGCTCAAGGTGGCACTTGGGAGCCACAGACTGATCCTGGGTGTTTCCCAAGTAGTGGTGGTGCTCGGAAGTGAGTGTATGCCCAAGCAGAGAAGCCCGAAGCCTTCCCTGGCCTCAGCCCCTCAAGAACCTCAGCTTCCCAGACCTCCCCCTTTATTTTTTTTATTTATTTATTTTGACAGGGTCTTGCTATGTAGCCCAGGCTGGCCTCAAACTCACAGTGATCCTCCCGTCTCAGCCTCCGAAGGGCTAGAATTACAACATGTGTTGTAGAATTACCAACCATGCCCAATGGAGAGCCTCTCTTTTAATTCCCACATTTCCTCTCAAGCTCCTCCTTTTCTCCTTCCTATGTTCTTCCTACGAGGAAGGAGGAGACCAGAACAGGTACAAAACCCCAATTCAGAGGCTTGGCAAGCGCAAGGTCTTTAGTTCGATTCCCAGTACCAGAAAAAAAACCAACCAAACAAACAAACAAAAAATCACAAAACCCCAACTCAACCAGTTGAGAACTTCCACTTGGATTGCTCTGGAGATGAGCTGCTGAAGCATCTGAACTCTCTGCTCGAACTCCTTGACTTTGGGGTCTGTGGCTGGTGAGGTGGGGGGGTCAGCCCCCGTTAGAGCCCCGTGTCACTTCTTTCTAGGGGATGCATAAGGACCAGATTGGTTGGAAGTGTGGGAGGCCACAAAGGACAGCCAGGAGTTGAGCACAAAGCCCTGGAAAGAGCATCCAGCTATATACCTGCTGGAGCAATCTGCACTTCTAAAGCCACCACCCTGGATCAATGCTTTTTTTTTTTTCATTTTTTCATTTTTCTTCCTGTACCAGGAATCGAACTCATGACCTTGCGCTTGCCAGGCAGGCGCTTTGCTGCTCAGCTAAATCCCCAGCCCCCCTTTTTTTTCTTTTTGAAACAGTTCTTGCTACATTGCCCCGGTTGGTCTTGAACTTGTGATCCTCCTGCCTCATCCTCCCAAGTAGCCATGCTTACAGGTGTTCACCACTGTCCTCATCACCATATGCCTTGGGGAACTAACCCCAAGGGGGGACCCCACCCACATGGCAGGGTCCGCGGAGAGGCATGCACCGCCTTTGGCAACGGGAGGCTGAGTCCTGGATGACCTTTTTTCTGGCACGGGCTTCTTCTTCATGGTTAGGGCAGCAGTGGCGGCCAGCACGTGCATGGCCAAAGTCTCCCAGCCGAGCTTTGCTGTGTTTCTACCAGAGCCACGGGTGCCGTGCGGGCGTCTTGCCAGGCTCTGCACCTGCCTGCATGGTGTCCTCGAGTCTCTCTGGACAGAGGTGCAGGGCAGAGGGCGTGCGTGTGTGCACGCATGCGCACACATGCCTGGGGAATGTTGTGCCTCCACTTCTTACCCCTGAAACCAGGTCCTTGAGCTCCTGCAGCTCTCTCGGCAGCTGCCTGGAGAGGACCGCGACTCATGACGGGCCTCGTGAGGCGGACCCACTGCGGAGGAGCTGCGGCCCGGGCAGCATCTGGGGCCCTACAGCTCTGGGAGGCTTACGTAAACACTGGCTAGGCCAAGGAGGGAGGGGGTGCCGGGGGCTGCCCGGCCCGGGAAAGAAGGCGCCCCCGCCCCACGGCGGGCTCAGCCTGCCCGAGGAGAAGGAAGGGCCTCGAGGTCCTCCCCACCCCCCACCGCGCCGCCCGGGTCTGCAGCTGCAAGGGCTGCGGGGTCTCCGCGGAGGGAGGCAGGGGAGGGCGAGAGAAAGGATGCAACTTCGCAAATTCGTGATCCTGGCCCCTTTTCTAAATTATGGGGGGGAGGGCGGGAGAAGCAATTTGCCGGAGAGATTTTCAATGCCGCAGGAAGGAGCTTCGCCTCATTAGAATGCGCAGTTTGCACCCTGGAAAAAAAAAAAAAAATCTGTGCTGGTTGCAAAAATGCAGACTCGAGCGTGTAGGGGCCCAGCGGAGATTCAAAAAAAGAAAGGAAAAAAAGCGCTACCTCTGCAATGCAGGATCTGCGAAGTTTCGGCGCGATGAGCGAATGTGGGTCGCGCGCACTCGGGGTGTGCTTGCTCCTGGTAACCTACTGTCCGCCTGACTGCGGCGCGGCGCCCGGCCCGGCCGGCGAGGGGCGCCGCGGCTCGGAAACCGGGTCACCCGCAGGGCCAGGGCAGAGGCTGCAAGTGGGGTCCGGGGTTGGGGTGTCACGTGCGCCCTCCTTCGCTCTGCACTCCAGGCACTTGGCAGGCAGCGTTTCCCCTTCCTGTGCGGCGACCTCGCCGGCCGCTGCTGAAGGAAGGACCCTGCCGCCTGGCGCCAGACCCCCGCACCCACGGCTTCTCTTTGTTCTGATCCCGGGGTGGGCAGTAGCCGCCTGTGTGCGGCACATTCCTTCCTAGGAAGAGGGGACAGGCTCCCCAACATGTGGGGACCCACAGGGAAACCGGATCTGGGCTCTGGGCCAGGGCGGGCTGGGGTGAGGATTCTACGGCTTGGGGAGCCCCTTTGTTCTTGGGGGGCCGGGGCTCCGGGCTGTGTGAACCCCGAGGGCTGTCTGGGAGGGGAGTGTGCCTAGGACGATCCTATCTCCCTGCTGCCGTTTGTTCGCCCGCCTCCGAAGGGACCAGAGGGACAGCAGGGTCCAGGGCTGGGGGCCCGAGGGAGCCCGGTGCCCTCTCGCTCGCCCCGCCTGCCGCCCCGCCCGGCCGCCGGAGGACAGGACTCACGCGGGCCGCCCGGGTCACATGGCCCGGGCATGTGCAGCCTGCTCCATTTCTACCACAACAACTCGCTCATACACAGCCGGCTGCGGCGGTGCGGCGGAGACATGTGCTCGAGGGGGTGGGGCACGTGGCCCTGCCGAGCGAGTGGGGACGGCTGGTGGCTCTGCCGCCTCCCTCCTCGCCACAGGAAATTCCTAGTGCTCCGTGGCCGCCGCCGCCACTGCCGCAAAACATGCTTTTGGGGAGTGATTTTTAGGAAGCATGGAGCTGACGGGGCTGTGTGCAAACGGGGAGCACGGAGCATCAGCCTGAGACCACCCTAGCTGCCCTGGCCGCCGCTTTCTGAGAGCCCCGCGCATCCCGGGCCGAGGGCTGAGAGAAGTCAGGAGCTAAGTCTCCCCGGGCTTCCTCCCAAACCATGCACGGTCGGAGAACCAACCAGGTCCTCGTGATGAACAGAATTTGCCGAAACGATGGTTCTCAGGATCAGCAGTGGGGCGAACCTTGCCGGGGGTGCAGATTCTCGGGCCCCTTCCCTCTGACAGTCAGATGCCAGGGCAGACCCCTTCCGGGCGGCTCTGATGCTCTGGGAAGCACAGAAGTAGGTCTGGGTCCGTCCCTGAGAATACAGCCCCGGACCTGGCAGTGGACCTACCTCCTTCTTTTTTGGCTTCATCTCCAAGTTCATGGTGGTGCACACCTGTCACTCCAGCGCTACCCGGAGGCTGAGGCAGGAGGATTGCCACGAGTTCAAGGCCAGCCTGGGCTACATAGCAAGACACTGTCTCAAACAGAACAAAACAGAAAGTTCAGCCAGAGAGCATACCGGATTTAGTTTGACTCAGAATACTGAAAAGTACAGATCGAGCAACTCCTGTGTGCCCTTGCCCTTCCTGGGAATGGGAGCAGACCGCGCGACGGTGGCGGGGTCAGGAGTTGCAAGGGTCTCGCACGGGCGTGGAGGGTGCGGAGGAAGAAGGCAGGAGAAGGCTAAGCCCCCCTCCGTCTTGTCCACGGTCTTCCTGTCCTGCACCCCGTATTCCGGCAATTGATTGTGGCTTCAATAGTTTTGAGGCTGGAGGGGAAAGCTGGTCCCTTGCCTAATTTTTCTGGCCATGGGAACCCCAAGCTAACTATAGCCTTAGGCTCTTGACTCCCTAGGTGCAACTAGAGGAATAAGATACACACACACACACACACACACACACACACACACACACACGCACACTTCGGATCTCAGAGGCAGCAAAAAAGAGCGAAGTCTCTGAGGGTCACAAGTTCCCTGGGCAAAATGAGTTTCGCAGATACAGAGCAGGAAAAGCCTTTCAATAGGAGAGGGTGGGGACCGCTGGCCTACTCCGGCTTCCTGAGACCCAGAAACTGGGCCCGGAAGAGGCAGAGGGTCCCTAAGGCAAATCCCAAAGGCTCCTGGAATGAAAGTGTAGCCTGGAAAGCGAGTAGAGAATGGAGGACAGACGCACAGCCGCAGGGTCCCTCCCACAGGCAGACGCAGCGGGACGCCAGGGTGGCGGCCACACCCAGCTCTCTCCTCTGCCTCCCTCTCCATCACCGGTGTCTCAGGCATCCCACGCCTGACAGTGGCTCGGAGGGACCCGCCAGCTCCTAGCTTCTCTGTGCTTCCCACTGTCTTTCTTTTTATTCGTTCATTTCGTCTTTTTTCTTTGTTTTTTGGAGACAGTGTCTCGCTGTGTAGTTCAGGCTGGACTTGAACTCACTATGTAGCCCAGGCTGGCTGCGAACTTGCAGTGCTCCTCCTGCCTCAGCCTCTCCTAAAGGTTAGGACTACAAGTGTGCACCATGATGCTTAGCTCATTTTCTCCTCCCCTCCCCCTCCCTCTTTCTTTTCCCTTTTTGGGCCAGTCTTGCTATGTGTACAGCCCAGGCTGGCCTCGAGCACAGCCTTCAGAGTGTTGGAATTGCAGGCAGACCCCCAGCTTCCCTGCTTCGGTTTCGGAGGAACGCAGAATTCTTGCTTCTGCTTCTGTGCAAGGCTTCCTCTCCGTGCCCGAAAGGCCCAGTCCCCAGGCACGGCCAGCCCTGCAGGCTCGGCCGCAGTGACCTACATTGGCTGTCCCCGAGGCCCTGGGCGCGGGGGCTGAGATTTCAGGACCGCACTTGGGAATCTGGCGCGGGACCACGAAGGATGACGTCAGGCGCACAGGCTGCAGAAGTGGCTCGGAGCGACAGGGGGCGCCACGGGACTGAGTCCTCGCTTTGTCACAAGGCAGAGTCTGAGATTCTCCTCCCGCAAATGCGAGACCGTCACTGCGTGGTGAGCCCTTGGCGAAGAGGCAGAGGCCCCCGAAGGGCTTGCTCTCTTCGTTCACGAGACCCCGGTGGTGTCTGCCACTCCCCAGTTTTTCTGAACCTGCCCGATGTGGTGATGGGCTGGAAAGCCTTACTTGCTTGTATTTATTTATTTATTTATTAGTTTTTTTTGAGACAGGGTCTCGCTATGCAGTTCAGGCTGGCCTTGAGCTCACTCAGTAGCCTAGGCTGGTCTCGAACTCACAACTATCCTCCTGCCTCAGCCTCCCCAGTGCTAGGATTACAGGTGTGTGCCACCACGCCCGGCCTCCTATTTTTGTTTGGCTGTTTTTTTGGTTTTTTTTTGTTTTTTTGTTTTGGAGGTTTTTGGTTTTGTTTTTTGTTTCTTGTTTCTTTTCTTTCTTTCTTTCTTTCTTTTTTTTTTTTTGCTTTTTTCCCGTACCAGGAATCGAACTTGCAACCTTGCGCTTGCCAGGCAAGCACTGTGCCGCTGAGCTAAATCCCCAACCCCTGGGCTGTTTCGTTTTGTTTTGTTTTGTTTTTTTGAGACAGGGTCTCACTCTGTAGCTCAGGCCGGCTTCAAACTTGCAGCCATCCTCCTGCCTCAGCCTACTAAGTGCCAGATTACAGTCGTGACTATGATTTCCCTGGTCTTGATGTGGACTGCGTATATGAGTTTAGATTGCTGCTGATTTATTTCAGGGAAATGGAAGCTGAGTTGAGGTCAGATATGCAAAACTCTTTTTTTTTTTTTACTTTTTGAAACAGGGTCTCGCTATGCAGTTCAGGCTGGCCTTGAGCTCACTTTGTAGCCCAGGCTGGTCTCGAACTTGCAATGATCTTCCTGCCTCAGCCTCCCGAGCGCTGGGATTACAGGCGTGCGCCACCACGCCCGGTTGCAAAACACTTTTTACTCGTGTGTTTAACTGTGCAAAGACCAGGTACTGCTCTAGACTCCAGTTTCTGAGAAGGCTCCAGAGGGCGCTCCGGGGATGAATTGTCACGCACAACCGCGGGTTTTGGGACCGGGGCACTGCGACCTTCCAGATCCAGCCATGGGAAAGCAGTTCCGCAGTAGGTGCCGCTCCTCCCGCCCACTGTAAGGCACACGGCTCAGGGTGCCACTGACTCAAATTGTGCATGTTTTGCTCTGGCAAGGAAATCTATAGGTGGTAGTGACCGTAGACGACGGGCGGGTTTGTGCTTAGCAGGGAGACGGAAAGCGGGCAGGCCATGCAGGCCCGGGTGGCCTGGCCATCCTGTCCAAAGGGCTTCCCCTCGCCAAGCCCCACCCTGGAGCCCCGAGCGTCCACAGCCTGGCACACCGCCGGGAGACAGCATTCCTCGGGCCTCGCGCGGCTGGGGGCGGGGATGCGGAGGAAGCTGCAGGCAGGAAATGACCACAGCGCCCAGGGCGCCGGGGAGCCGTGGAGACCCTGCGCCCACGTCCCTCCGTCGTTTTTGGAGAGGAGGGCTGAAAATGGCTGGTTTCCGACGGGCCTGCAAAGGGCCTGAAGCTGCACAGGGGGTGACCCCGGGTCACCTCTGTGCGCAGGGTCACCCCCGACGTCCCCGCGGGAGGCTGCTGAGCTCGCCTGCGCCCGCCCACCCCTCAGGCTGTGGTTGGGCACGGGCGCCCCCGCGTGGCTGAGAGTAGGAACTGCATCCCCACAAGGAGCCGCCCCGCGGGTCTCTCCCGGCCTCCGCGCCCCGCCCACGCCCGGGACTCTGGAAATAGCACCTGGTCATGCGAGCGCTGACAGGTGCTGAGTTATGGAGCAACAAGTGTCCCGGCCAGAGTCCGCGGCCTTCTGGCCCGATCGCTTGTGGCCTGGTTCCCCCGCGAATGCAGAAAGCCCCGAGACGCCTCCCATGGGCGCGCCGCGCCGCTCCTCCCGCGTCCTTGGAACTGTGTTTCCTCGTCGTGCGCCCCAAGACCTGCAGCTCTCGGGTCTGCTGTTCACGATCCCTGTGACCTTGGAAGGACAAGTGGGCCCACGATAATTTTGATTTTAAATTTGCCCTACAAGTGTTGGGCGTGGTGGCACAGGCATTCGAGAGGCTGAGGCAAGAGGTTACATAGTGAGACCCTGTCTTTGAAAGAAGGAATAACCTTCCCATTCCGTACTACTTAGGCACCTCCCACAGCCTGTGCGGGGTGAACATAGGCAGAGCCTAGGTCAGACTTTTTCCCAAGGAAACTGGCTCCCTCTTGGCTTCACGTGACCTATTTTGAAGCGTTTCCTGGCCAACTCGTTCATTTGGTGCACTAAGGCTTCCCACTAGACTAATTTTTGTTATCCCCACAGGACTCCCCGGGGCTCTTCCTGCCCAGGACAAATGTTCCCAATCTGAAAGAGGCAGAAACCGTGTTTCCTTTCTTT